ACTCACAGCGACCCCACCTTGGGTTTCCAAGGTGGTATCACTACAGAAGCAGATTGCCCAACCTTGCTTCTGAGAAGTGGCTGGTGGGTTTGAACTTGCCAGCCTTCTGGTTAGCAGTCGAATGCCTTAGGCACTACACTACAGAGCTCCTTATACTAAGGTATATGCCAGCCTATAAAGGGAGCCCTTGTGGCATATAGTGGTTAAAGTCTTCAACTGCTAACCAAAACGTCAGTGGTTTGAACCTGCTCTGTGGAGACAGATATAGCAATCTTCTGTAAAGATTTATAGCCTTGGAAACCCTTGGGGCAGGTCTACTCTGTCCTACAGGGTTGCTGTGAGTAGAAATCAAGCTGACAATAGTGGGTTTTGTTTTTTTCCAGCCTATAGATACTTGGTGGTTCCCCTGTCAAAGCACAACTCAAGCACAGTGCTCTGAAACTTGTCATCAACTGTACACCCATCCCTGTGTTTCCTTACAGTGAAATCCTCAACTCAAATGAGTTGGCTCAGAATCCTCAGCCAGGAAGCCTGAACTATCTCAGAATCCTCAGGCAGGCAGCCTGACCTATCTCCCTTTCAGCATTCTACATATGACCTTATATTTAAAATATCCTTCTGAATTCTGATCAAGGTAAGTTTTCAGAAAACTTTCCCTGGAGAGCACAAACCACAAAAGCCAAAATCACCTACTCATTCACACTATTTAATTATGGTTACAGGGAGCAATAATCAGAACGTTAAATCAATGCTTGCATTTAAATAAAGACAATGTCACTGTGAGATTCTCAAAAGTGGCAACCAAATCTCAGGCATTTCTGCTCCCTCAGCACTTACTGTTTGGTACTGGTATTTTTCAGGTGAACTTCTGACTGAAACAACAGAATGCATGAATAAACACACTCACATGCACCTTCACCTAGGACTCCAAATGAGAGGCTCAATGGGGTAAGACAGTAGAGATCCAAACAAAGTCAGAGATTCACATACCATTACAGACTTTAAATGAGGGTGGTAGGAACTAGGTTTTCTTACCTGGGCTTGTTTCTCCATTTCTCCTTTAAGTTCATCAAAATACGTGCTTTCTCCTTCATCATATTCTGCATCAAACATTTCCTTTAGTTTTCTCTTCTTATCCATACATTTTCTCTTAGCACTTTCCTCTGGTTTGGGCTCAGTATCTTGCTTAACTTCTACATTTTCAATCTTCAATCCAGAAGAGAAAATTTTGTTAAAGTTTGTGGATATCTTTTCTTTAAATATTAAAGCAGATTAAAAAATTCTTTTTGAACTATAAAAGTATTAGTTATGATCATCAGGAAAACAAAATGAAGCAAAGCCTTTCACTCTAAGTAACAAAGTATTGCTACCAGGGACATTTAAACATCTGCATTATAATGAACATTAATCTGGCTGAGATGACCAAACATGAACAAAAATAACAGTAAATTTCCCCAATCCAGGTGCTTTCATCCACTATTCTAAAGAAATTTAAGGGAGAACAGGAAATTATTTTTAATTGAGCCTTAAATTTACGAGGAGAATGACAACAAAGAAATGGTATAAAGGAAAATAATGACTCAAGGGCTAAAGCTTCCAAAAAATAAACAATAATTATGAATTTGGTAATTAACTATGACAAGAGGTAGGAGATATTATTCAAAAGATCAAGAATAACTAAACAACCTTTTATCTATTCTCACCCCCAACATTATGAAGAAAGCCATCCAGTCTGTAATCTACTGAGATAAGATTTGCATTTCTCAACATGGGCCTCTTTCAGAACCAGGAGCTAATGGCCACCCCTTGGCAAAGTCATACCTGAGTATCTGGACCTGATTTTCCCTTGTGCATGTCTCCTGTTTCAAGGTCTTCAAAATCACCATACAGCTCCTCTGAGAAAAGAACACCCAAATGATGACACCGTGCATTCTTCCTTTTAAACCTTATTTTTCTTGTTTCTACTATACATATCAAAAATATCCTACACTTACATGTTTTTCCCCCTTTTTTTACATGGTCAATATGTCATCATTTGTGCAGGCTATATAAACAGACACAATCCACATTTCCATACTTTACTTCACAGTCCCACTTAACCAAGAAGAGCTAATTATCCAGTATTTTCACACCACACAACTATTAGAATGGCTATAGCAAACAGTGATAGCACCAAACATGATAAGGAGAGTGCTGGTGGAAATGTAAAAATGATACAGAGCAGTTACTCTGTCACTTTCCTATAAATATAAATATGCAATTACCATATGACAGAGCAAGTGAATTCTTGGCCATTATGCCAGAGAAATGAAAGTTTGTATTTACACAAAAACCAGTACATGAATGTTCACTGCAGGTGCATTCATAATAGCCCAATGCTATAAGCAACGCATGTCATGCAATGCTACTCTGCAATAAAAAAGTAAAAAATATTGCTATACACAATTGCCAGGGAGTTATACTGAGTGAAAAAAAACTAGAATAATACTGTACAATTTCTTTTAAATAATATCTTGAAATGACAAAATTGTAGAAATAGAGAACAGATTAGTATTTGACTGGAGTTATGAATGAGGGATAAGGGTGGAAGTAAATATGTTTATAAAAGGGCATGATGGATCCTTGCGGTGATGGAATTGGTACATATCTTAACTGGTGGTAGATACATAAACTTATACATGTGATAAAATATTACAGAAGTCACACACACAGAGACCAGAAATAAAACTAGGAAAATCTACATAAGATTACTGGATTATATCAATGTCAATATCCAGATGTGATCTTATAATTTTACAAAATATCACCACTGGGGGAAACCTGGTAAGGTACCCACAGGCTCTCTCTATGTTAGTTCTTACAACTGCCTCAAATGAAAGGCCTGGCAAACCACTTCTAAAATATCAGCCATTGAAAACTCTACTGCGCATAGTTCTATGACACACGTGGCTTCCTGGAGTTGGAGTTGATGAAACAGTAACTGGAATATAAAAACTTTCATTTTTTATTGTTTATTGTTTATATATTTGGGTGAATGTTCACAGAGCAAACTGGTTTTCCATTCAAAAATTCATATACATTTTGTCATGGAGGCTGGGGGTCACATGGTCCATTAGCCCTTCGGACTAATTGTTACCTTTTTTATTGGATTTCCTTCACTTTTCTTTGTTTTCGATAAGGATAGCAACTTAGATGGCCACTCATAAGCTTTTAAGACTCTAGTCACTACTCAACGAAACAAGATGTAGAACATTGTTCTTTTAGTCTGTGCTATGGAAGTTGATCTTAGTGTCTATCATGCCCAGAGACTCATTCTCTCAAAATGTTTGGTTATGGCTAAGAAGTTTCCATAATTAAGTCCCTTGTAGGCTCTACTACAGTCACAGATATATTTGCTGCACAAATAAATACATTTGTATAAATATCTTCTGTCAACCCTACATGTAATTTGTGAGAGTAGTCCCAATTCATTTTGCCACCCTTATTCAGCTTGAGTGTATGTTATCATTCTTACTGCTACCATAGGTTGTTTATGTAGCAGTATTTACCTTTGTTGCCTTCAACTCTTATGCTCCTCTAATGTCTTCCTTTGCCTTAATCATGGTTTATACAAAGACTTTAAAAGAATAGTATTAAATATATATCTTTGTATTTAATAGGAGCTCTGGTGGCATGGTGCCTAAGGCATTTGACTGCTAACCAGTCAAATGGTTCAAACTCACCAGCCACTCCTCGGAAGGAAGATGGGGCAATCTACTTCCTTCAAGATTTACTGTTCAATGGCAAGTGAGTTCGGTTTATTTGGTTTTATATTTAAACTATATTCAAAGAGCTAAAGGAAAACATGAACAAATAACGAAAGGAAATCAGGAAAACAATCTATGCACAAAATGAGAATATTAACAAAGAGCTAGAACTTATCAAAATAAATGAACAAAAACAAATTATTTAGCTAAATAGTACAATAGCTGAAATTAAAAATTACCAATTCAAAGTATTTTAGCAGGAAATAAAAATAATTAGTAAACTCAAAGACAGAACAAACTGAAATAATCCATTCGGAAGAATGAAAAGACAAATTAACAAATCATAAGAGAAACATGCAACACCTGCTGTCATTATGTGCTGTCAAGTTAGTTCTCACTTTCAGTGACCCTGTATACAGTAGTAATAAACACTGCCTGGTCCTATGTCATCCTCAAAATCATTGTTATGCTTGAATCTATTGTTTAAGCCACTGCATTAATCCATCTCATTGAGGATATTCCTTTTTTTCAGTGACCCTCTAACTTTTCCTACAATGTCTTGATAACATGCCCAAAGTACATGAAATGAAGCCCTACTATCATTGCTGCGAAGGAACATGCTGGCTGTATTTCTTCCAAGTTAAATATGTTCATTTTTCTGGCAGTCCTTGGAACATTCAATATTGTTTGCCAACACTATATCAAATGCATCAATTCTTCCATTTTCTGTATTTCATTGTTTAGCTTTAACACGCATATGAAGGGATTAAAAAAACTATGGCTTGAGTCAGGCACACCTTAGTCCTCAAAGTGACATCTTTGCTTTTTAACACTTTAAAGAGGTCTTTTGCAGCAGATTTGTTTCATTTCTTGACCACTGCTTCCATGGGTGTTGATTGTGGATCCAAGTAAATGAAATGCTTGAAGTCAATCTCTTCTCCATTTATCATGTTACTGCTTATTGGTCTAGTTGTAAGGTTTTTGTATTCTTTATGTTGAGGTGTAATTCATACTTTAGACTGTAGTCTTTGATCTTCATTAGTAAGTGCTTCAAGCCCTCTTCACTTTCATCAAGCAAAGTTGTCTCATCTGCATATTGTAGGTTGCTTAGGAGTCTTCCACCAATCCTGGTGCTGCATTCTTCTTCATATAATCAAGGTTCTCTATTTGTTCGCCATACAGATTGAATAAGTATGGTGAAAGGATACAACTCTGATGATTTTAAATCATGCAGTATCCCCTTGTTCTGTTTTAACTGCCTCCTGGTCTAGGTATAGATTCCACATGCGCACAATTATGTATTCTGGAGTTCCCATTCTTTGTAACGTTACCCATAATATGCTACGATCCACACAGTGAAACATCCTTACATAATAAATAAAACACAGGTAAACATCTTTCTGGTGTTCTCTGCTTTCAACCAAGATCCATCTGACATCAGCAATGATCTCCCTCATCCCACAACCTCTTCTGAATCTGGGCTGAATTTCTGGTAGTTCCTTGTGGCACTGCTACAATTGTTTCTGAATTATCTTCTTCCCTAGTTGTATTTTTGGTAACTTTCAATCTGAGAGGCTCATCTTCTGGCAACAAATCTGATAATGTTTCTCTGTTATTCATAAGGTTTTAGGTGGCCAATGTTTTCAGAAATGGATTTGGGCACATCCTTTTTCCCAGGCTGTTTTAGTCTGGAAGCTCTGCTGAAATCTGTCCACCATGGGTGACAATGCTGGTATTTGAAATACCAATGACTTAGTTTCCAGCATCACAGCAACATGCAAGCCACCACAGTACAACACCCTGACAGATGAGTTATGGAAAATACTATTAAGAGGATTAATATATTTATTATGGATGTCTCAGAAAGAAACAGAAAGAGAAAGGGGAAGGAGATATATTTTAAAAAAAAGAAAAAGGGCTGAAACTTTCCAAATTTGAGTAAGACATGAATTTGCATATATAAAAAGATCTATATATTCCAAGCTCTATATACTACTTGGCCTTCAAGGAGATACATGCCAAGACATATTAAAATCAAATGTCAAAAACCAAAGATAAAGAATCTTGAAAGCAGCAAGAGAAAAGCAAACTGTCACATAGAAGGGGGCTCAAGTAAGATTAATAGTCAACTTCTCCTCAGAAACGATGGAGGCCAGAAGGCAATGGAATGATGTATTTAAAAAGTTTTTTTGAAAAAAAAAACTATAATCCAAGAATTCTCTACCTGAGAAAACTGTCCTTTAAAATCTAGGGTGAAATTAAGAAACTCCCAGATAAACAAAAGCTGATGGAGTTTATTAATATAAGACTTACCCCACAAGAAATTCTAAAATGAAGCCCTTCAAGTTCAAAAGGGCAGTAACTCAAAGAAATATGATGAAAAAAAGATCTGCAGTAAAGGTAATTTCATGGATAAATGTAAAGGTCATTTTATAGAATTTTAATATTATAATTCTACTTGTTATGTCTTCTTGGTTTACTGAAGTTAACTTAGCATTTAAATCAAGTGGTTAAACACTAGGATGTTAACTGTAATCCCCATGTTGCTGTTGTTGTTATGTGCTGTCGAGTCAGACCTGACTCATAGCGACCCCTCCTTGGGTTTCCGAGGCAGTATCACTACGGAAGTAGATTGCCCATCTTCCTTCTGAGGAGTGGCTGGTGGGTTTGAACC